ACATCTTCACTCCTCACCCTGTACTGCAGTGGGAGCCGTGCTGAGGCGCTGATGAAAGTGGAGGGCTCCCGCTGTGCATGGAGGGCCCCCTACATGACCACCTGGGCAGCTAACCACCAGCCCAGGCTCCTCACTCACTTTCCCTTGGCACAGTTAACCCACAAATCAGGCTTGTTGAGACAACACCAATTCCTCTCTCTAGTTCTCCTTTTATCCTCCGCAAAGCCACAGCAGAGCTCCCTCCAGCCACTACTGACTCACGATGTCTCGTCTCCTCCTCTTCCCTATCCCACTCTTAATTTCAGATCAAAACACTTCCTCAGAGTCATTCAAAATTGCACTTTCCTGTTTTCTACTTGCAGAATGTTCCCTGAGCTGGTCTCCCCTTCTCAAACACATACCAGGACAAATGTCAATAAAGGTGTCTTGGCCCTCCTTTGGTCAGCCCTCTTTCATACCTGTGGAATATGGTTTATCCAAGAGCCCAGATTTCTTCCCATCTTTGCCCCATTCTCTCCCATTCCTAAAATGCAGCAGGACCACCAGGTCATAAGGGAATACGGAGCTCTCATTGACACTTCCAAACCTGAACATCCCTTCAACACAATCATCAACACATCTACAGCTCAGCCACATTTACATTACACTGGACCAAGGCACATGGAGGCAGCTTTTTCTTTTTTCTTTTCTTTTTCTTTTTTTGGTGAGGAAGACTGGCCCTGAGCTAATACCTGTTGGCAATCCTCCTCTTTTTGCTCGAGGAAGAGTGGCCCTGAGCTAACATCTGTGCACATCTTCCTCTATTTTGTAGGTGGGACACATCACAGCATGGCTTGATGAGTGGTGAGGATCCATGCCCATGATCTGGGCCGCTGAAGCTGAACTTAACCAATACGCAACCCAGCCAGCCCAGAGGCAACTTTTAATCCATACAACACTCACGGTACTTTCTGCTAGTGCTGAGGTAGGGGTGTACTCGTGTGCTACTTAGAGTCACAAACTAGCAACCAGAGTTCTAATATCTACAGCAGACATATATTAACACATAGGCTCAAGGTTTAGGTGTTTCACATTTTTTTTATTTGCTGTGGTTTGGTTTGGCTTGGTTTTGGGCTCTGCACCAATAAATGATTGTCTTAGCAAATGACTCTGATGGTTTCCGAAAGCTGCCTGACCAACTAACTTAATTTAGACAATGCCACTTGACAAAAAAGTAAATTAGTATCTTCTAAATACAGACAACGAAAAACAGCTACAAAGCAAATGTCACTGAAATCCAACAATAAGGCTAAGTACTAGATAACCTGTCATTCAGGATTTAAGTCAACGAGTCAGCTGACACAGGCCCAGCTCACCTTCCAAAAGGCTAGTAAAGTATAGTAAATGGCCATAGACAGCTAATGTTGGATAAACAACCACACAGGAATTATACCTAAATGGAATGTTCCTGATGGAGACATTAAGATGTTTTCATTGCCCCTCACAGAATTTGCTTTAGATATATACGTTTGCTGTGCCCTGGGAAATGCCACATTTGTTTTGCTTTGAGTAAGAAGTTTTACCTAAACTGGCTTTGTGCTAGGGTAGGATTTTGCACTTGATTTCTGGGTTTAAAGAGAAACCATTGAGCAACAGAGCTTCCTAAATCAAAAGACTGAGATTTCCCTTTCCCAAGACAGAATTAGAACCTGAAACGAAATGTTGGATGACACCTAAAATTGTCAGAATATCTCTTCTGCAAAATAATTTTCCAATTACCTTTTTCTCAGGATTGCCTATTGCATTTATAATGAGCCAACCTTATTCAGATTTCCTTCAAGTACAAAACACAAGAAGCATGTGTTTTCTTGATTCTGAATGTATTTGGCTCCGGATTTCTAAGTCTGAGCAGGGAAATGTATTAATTTTTAAGGGTTCTAAGCAATGCCTTTTTTAATATTACATAAAACTAAGCAGAATTGTGGGATTGTATATAATAAATATATATACGCATCAGACTAAATTAACTTAATGATAACTTGCTGCTCCTGAAATTATGTTACTAAAGATAATTGCACCTAAAGTCACGCAGAAGCCATAATCTCATGAAATGACACAGCAAGTCAATTTATTTCTCCTACTCCTACCTTCTGTGTAAAGAACAGACATGCTTCCAAAGACAGCCACGACCAGCAAGACCAGGAAGAAATTCTTATCGCCCTAGCCTGGCAGATAAATTGGGGTGCGCACCAAAGCATTCTTACTGACGAGGAAAATTGGGGGTGCTGTAGAACACGTTATAGACACTTTTAGAAAAGGTAAAAATCAGTCATCTAAGACTCTCCACCCTTTGCTCCCATACCTGGAGTTCCCAGAATATCACCTTCCTCTTTGATCTCTTGAGTCTCCTTTCACTTCCCTAATGTTAGAGAGTTTAGCCACTTTCAGTTTTTTTCCTATTTTGGATTTTTATTAAGTGAATCAATTCTATTCTTTTTGTTTCCATTTTTAGTTTATATAATAAAAGAACAAATGCTTGTTGCAAAAATTTTTTTTAAAAAGCCAAAACGTACTTTATAAATAAAAAGTAAAAGCGCCCTCTTCTCTGCACCCCCTCCCACTTCCTTCAGGCAGCCTCTGGCAACAGTTGAGGGACAATGAGGTACAGCGATGCCTGTATGCAGGTTTAAGTGTATGCATACAAATCTCTTCTACAATTTCCTTTTTTCACTTACTATATCTTGATTTTTCCCAAGACAATATACCAAAGCAGCTAACAGACACGTTTACAGTTACTGCATTTCTCCCTTTCGCGAGAATAAGATGGTTAAATCGAGATTTACTGAATATCAAAAGAAGTAAAAGGCTAATACTAAACATATCTTTGGTTATATTACTTTTTACACTTACCTTCAATCTAAAAATGGAGAGAACAAATGGGTAAATATATATGCGTTAATATACACGCACTACAAATATACAGATTATCCCACGTAGAAAATATTAACAAATATATGTACGCCGAAGCAACATTAATTTTCAAAGTTCAGAAGCACCACCCTGCGTAGGTGGTGAGGCTGAACAGGGAGGCACACCATGTGGAAATTTCCTAGGCTCTGGAGCCAGAGACACGGGGTCAAATCTAACTCCACCTCTCACTGATTATGTGGTTTGGAGAAGTTCCTTAACCCTTCCGAGCTTCCCTTCCACCATCCACAAGACCGGGGAAAAGACTTACCTTACAGCGATTTAGAAAGTACGTGTTTAAGATGGTGCTTACACATAGTAAGTGTTTACAAAGTGCCTTATTACTGTTAAAATTCCAGAAACCATATACAACAGACTTAGCGATCCAATACCTCAGACCACCAGCTACCTGCAAAGGTGCTGTTTTGCTTATCTTTGTGTTTCAGTTCGCCTTCTCGTTTTTATATTTACCTTATTTCTACAGACACGGAAAGTGCCTCCGAAACAAATTACAGTAAACACTCTTAGCTGCTTTAATGCATTCCCGAAATATGATCCTCTCTCCTCCCACTCCCCCAGTGTTTTGCTCTGGGCACATTAGCAATCTCCCAAACTCCTCCTAAGCAATCTTAAATTTCACTTACAACTTGTGATGAACACAAGCCACCTAATTATCACTAAATAACTGAAAATATCTTCCACGTCTGCTGATGACAGCAACTTAAAGCATCAAAAGCTGACCTCCCTATCCTCTCCTTTTACTTAACAAGGCCATCAATGATGCATACACCTTTAGCTGGCTGGTGGCCATGTCTTGGGGAAGCGATGCTCTGCAGACACCAGGCAGCTACCAAACACAGACCCGCTTTTATCACATGTTGTTGGTCAACTGTATGTCCACCCACCCTTTACGCTCATTTATATTGAAGAGCTTAGATTTCCACAAAATCCTAAACTTCTAGAACAATTAGGGGTAAGGCTGGCCACTGTACTAGCCAGTCGTCTCTTTTTACATGTGAGAAAGCTGAGACAGAGGAAGATGTGACATGCCCAAGGACATAGAACTATTTAGACACCAGTTGGGCTTAGAACCTCAACTCTTTAAGGTTCCTTCCTACTATTAATAGGCAAGATTTTATCTGTTCAGGAGCTCTGTATGGTATTTATTAAATATTTTTAGATGAAAGGAAATGTTTGTGGTTGCAAATGTGTGTGGGAGAAGCAAAATGCACCATATGCCGGCCTTAAGGCTAATGAATCCACCTGTCTGTCGACGTGGGGATGGAATAAATAACCGGGAAAGTTGCTTTTGGAATTTTTCACCAACCTGCTTGAATTTACGGGGGGCTGTGTAGGGAAGAAATAGGACCCAGAAGGACTAGCAACCGGCATCACCACCTCAAAAGGGCTCTAGGGACGTGTTAGACCAAATGGAAGTCAACAAGCACGAGGAGGGGCAATTTTTCCCAGGATGGCAGCAGGCAGAGGGAAGAGGTATTTTTTCCGTATTTATTCACCTGGGGAGGCAGACGCTGTCAATTTCTTCCTCTTGCCACACAAGTGGCCACGACCTTGTCACTGGGGCTGTCTGGCGGTTCTCGCCACCCCCTTTCTCCCGAGGATGTTTATGGCCAGGGCGCGCGCGGGGCTGGGCCGAGAAGGGCCTGGACCTCGGGGCGCAGCCCTCACCCCACGCCCGGCGCTGCGGGCTCCGGGCCAGGGCTCCCCTGGGCAGCGCCTTTGTTTTCCCGACTCCAGTTACGTTTGCGGAAGTGCTGCCCGCGCCCGGCGAGCCCGGGGTGCCGGCTGCAGCTCGCCCGGCACCCCCTAAAGATGACAGCCGACCCGGAGGCCGAGCGGAGGGGGCAGCGGCGGGCGAGCAGGGCTGGGAGCGGAGACACCCCTCCCCCGCCCTCCCCGGGGCCCCTCCTCTGAAGCCCCCTCCCGACAGCAGGTGTGCGCGCCCCAGGGGGCTCCCTGCCCCGAGGCCCCGCGCGGCCCCCGCGGGGGAGGCCAGGGTGGGGCTCCCGGCCGCCCCCGCCGGGCCGACTCACCTGCTGCGGGCGGCGGCGGCGCTCAGCGGCGCGGGGCGCGCGGAGCCCTCTCCCGCGGGCGCGGGGCGGTGGCTGCCGGCGCCAGGGCGGCGCCTGTCGGGGCGGCGCGCACCATCTCGTCCTGGGGGCTGCGGCGGGTGGGGCGGGATGCGGCGGAGGGATGCGGGCCGAGCGCAGCCGGCAGCGCGACCTTGTCTCCGCTGCCGCCTCCTCCGGCCCGGGCCTCTGCCGCTCTCCGGCTGGCCCGGGTCAGGGCTGGGCGCCGAGGACCCGCCGCCAGGTGCAGCGCTCCGCCTCCTGCGGCGCGGCGGATGCGTCGGCAGCCGCTCCTCCCGGCCTCCCGCCAGCCCTGGCGGCCCCTGGGGACCGGGCGCCCAGCCCCGCTCCGGAGGCGCGCTGAGGAGGGGAAGCGACCGCGAGGCTCTATCCCCGCATCCTCCGACCCCCACCCTGGCTCGAACCCCCCACCCCCATCCCCCTACACCCTCATTCCCCGACACCCCTTCAGGCAAATGATGCAGGCCTAGCTCCGGGGGGAGGGGGCGGGGAGTAGATGGCCGCCTGGTTGAGAATAGTAATAGTAATAATAATAATAGCCATCTTTTATGGAACGCTCATCAAGTGCAGGTACAACGCTAATGCTATTGATGCGTTCTCTCAGTGTCTCTAGTCCCCGGCCTTGGCAAACTGTCCTCACTTGACCCGGGAGAGAGGAACGGGGCGGGGGACCCGAGGCAAACAGCCGGGGTCTCAGGACTCACCAGGGAAGGATTCACCGAGGCTAAAGCACCCTTTTAAATTGGGAAGGTGCTACCGAGTATCTGGCGCCTTGCTAAAGAGGTAACCATGTTTGTCGCACTAAGAACGTAATTGAAGTTGTATTTCTGGTTAGACACGCAGAGAGGGTGGGGAGAGTGGAGTGGGTTGTAAAAGATATCATTCCTACAGTATTTTTGGGTGCCTGCAATGGGCTCTGGGGGCGCCAGATCTGTTCTCAGGGAGCTTGTGGTCTTGTTCTGGCAATAACAATAATAATAATGGCAGCCGATATTTATGAACATTTCTTATATCTGAAGCACTGAGTACCATTTAAGCCTTATCATAATCCTACAGGTATAGGTAAATGATTCCCATTTTACAACTGAGAAAACCGAGGCTGAACTTTAATGTGACCTATGCAAAATTACTAAATAGTAGAAGAGAGAGAAGTCGTCTTTTATCTCCAGGGCTTAAGCTCTTAACCAGAAATCTATGGATGAGAATTTTATGGGCCCTGAAGCTTGAGCATTTGCAGTCCCTCTTTAGGAAAAATCAAACAAAATTATAAAGACAAGGTTGCTATGCCCCAGCCCAGCCCACAGCCCCCCCTCACCACCCATCCGGGCCCTAGGAACCGTCCCTGAAGCTTAAGCTGCCTTTTCCTCCTGATAAACCCACTTGCATCACTGATGCATAAAAGCAAACCAGTTAAAGGCAGTGAGTGCTAAGGTTTCAAATGAAAGAAGTTAAGGTGGTTGTTGGACTCAACAACACGGAAGACTGAATTGGGTCTCACGTGGCCTCGAGCAGCTTCCTGTTGAATTGTTTGGGACTGAACAGCTCACAAAGTACCCAGCTGATAGCTGTCACGATAGAAATACCAATCTTCTTATCTGTCCAGCTATTAAAAGGAGCAACCTTTTCAGAAAGAAAAGGAAGAAAGTCTACCATGGTTCAGGTTCTCTCCTACATGTGAAAGGAGAGGAAAGAGAGCACGAACAACTTTAGAGAAAAGAGGGTAGATCTCGACTACAGCTGCTCCAAGGCGGCCCCATGTTGAAAAGTGAAGCCAGATCATCCTGGAGATTAAAGCTGGTGTTTCTGTTTCAAACAGGACGGGGTAGCCTCAAGGGTCGGCACAGCAGAAAATGTTTTAATTGGCCTTATTAGGGCAGGAATTTTTTCCTGGAAGCCCCTTCCCTTTTCAGTAGAACTAAAGAGAAGCTGCAAATCCACATAAAGAAAGAGCGATCTGCCACTACTCCCACGTCTCCCGACCCGCTGCGAGGTAACTAGTGGGTGTGGCGTGGGAAATTAGCTTCCAAGTATACTGCCAGGCACGCTATCCCAGGAGCCATTGCACTGAAAGGCTCAAAGACAAAATGAAGATGTTGAAATCACGTGGCTGTTTGAATCGATTTAAAATGCAGAGTAAGAATCCTGGGGGAAAGAGAGAGGGTAGCTTAACACACTTAGGATAAGGTACATGCAGGTGAGTATATTTTGTGAAATATGGGTAGAACCTGTACATCCCTCTCCCTCCCCCCCAACCCCCCCTTCTCCCCCTCCCCCGCCTCCTTTCCTCCCTCTCCTTTGTATTCTCTGCTTGGGTTTTGTTCTAGGCCTTTCTTTCCTCTGTCTTTTCTGTGATTGCTCTCACCCACTCCCTTGGCTTCAATCACAGAATATTTGAGGATGCCTCTGAATCTTTCTCTCTGGGTTTCTCTCCTAAGTACCAGATCCATACAGCCAATTGTCCAGTAGGCTGTTTCACAGGCACCCCAGCCTCACTAAGTCCCACATCAACGCTTCATTATCTTCTGCCCCTCCCCTACTCACTCTTAACTTCCAGATTCCCAAACAGCCCATGATCTACCCAGTTGTACAAGGCCCTATATTCCATGCTCCCTTCACCCTTACCCTCCTACCCAGTATATTCACTTCCTATTGCTACTATAACAAGTTACATCAAATTTAGCAGAGTAAAACAACACAAATTTATGATCTTACAATTCTGAAAGTCAGAAGTCCAAAATGGGTTTTCCTGGGATAAAATCGAGATGTCTGCAGCGCTGCATTCCGTCTTTATAGCTCATCGCTCTAACCTCTACTCCAGGCCTCACATTGCCTTTTCTGTCTCTGACCCTCCTGCCTCCCTCTTGACAAGAGATTTCCGCATATTGAGGTGTATGGGGTAACTATTTGGGTTCAAAACTGATTTGCGTTGAACTAAAGAAGCCTGACTTATGGCCTGTCAGACATACATTGTACATCTGCTTTAGCCATTAAAGGATGCACTCTCTTAAGATAAGAATGCATACTTCCCCTCCTATGCCCCGTCTGTAGAGACCGTGTTAGTCCTTTTCCCCACATCAGGGGCATGTTGCCCTGCTAATTTGCAACTGAATACCTCTTTGAAACTTTGATGAATATGTATTCTGGGTGTGTTTAATGTATGTTCTTTGTTCTAAAAAGTTATAAAACTACTGAAAACCATGCTTCTCCGGAACACTTTCTTCCTTTTTGAAAAAGGCCTTCCTGGGTTATAATCCTCACTTTGACTCAAGTAGAACTCACCTTATCTCTCTTATCAACAGAATGGTTATTGGCTGTTTTGCCTCAACACTCTTATAAGGACCCTTGTGATTACATTGGGCTCACTTTGATAATCCAGGATAATCTCCTATCAAGAGCCTTAATTTTTGTAAAGTCCCTTTTGCCATGTAAAGTAACATATTCACAGGTTCCTGGGGTTATGGACATCTCTAGGAGGCAATGACTTGCCTGCCACACCCAGTCAAATGCCAAGTGTCTACTTTTCAAAATATCTCTGGAATTTCTCCTCTTCTCTCTATCCCTGTGCTGTGCCAGTCGTTGCGGCTCTCCTCCTCTGCCCCATAACAACCATTTCTCTGGCCTCTCTGCCTCAGTGTGTTCTCTCATCCAATCGGTTTTCCAAATTGCAACCAAAGTAATCTTTAAAAATGTCTGTCCATGTCACTTCTCTGCAGTCCTACAGGGTTGCACAACACCACAGGGCCTCCTGGTTGTGCCACCAGCAGACCTTACTCCTCTACTTAAAACTCATCCAAGGCCCTCTTTACTGTAACGAAGAGATTCAAAAGTCCAATAGTTAAGTAGGATTCAAATTTTTTTCTCATATAACAGTCCACAGGTAGGCAGTCCATTAACAGTCCACAGAGAGGGTGGCCCACCATCCACACAACACACGGATTCCATGTCTGGTCCAGGGTGATGGCCTCGGGTCCCACCATTCCCAGCACATGAGATGGTGAGAGTATATGCCCAATTACTCAAAGAGAAGCCCTAGTGTTTGCACACATCACATCCATTCATAGCCCCTTGTCTAAAATGGTTACATGTCCACATCTGCATGCAAGGGAGGGAAACAGTCTTTAGCTGATCGCTTGTATGCCACTCTATTACTACACAAGAAAGGGCGAGTGGATTTGGGGAGTCAATTAGCAGACTTCCACAGAAAGGAAAACAAGGTGCCATGCAAGAGAAGAATGGAGGAATATAATTTAGATTGGAGGATAGGGAAGACCTCTGAGGAAGTAACAGTAAACTGAAACCTGAGGCATAAGAAAGAGATGGCCAGGAAAAGAGTTCTGGAAAGACCTTTCCCCACAGAAGGAGCAGCCTTGAGGCAGCAAAGAGCTAACCTTTGGTGACTGGGGCAGAATGAGTGGTGAGCTAAGGAGAAATGTCAAGAGAAGAGCTTGGAGAAGTGGGCAGGAGCCAGGTCAGACAGAAACCTGTGCATCATGTTAAGCATTTTGCATTTTAGCTTACATTCAATGTGATCCATTGAAGGACATTTAAGAGATCCGATTTGTACCTTTAAAAAATCACAATGGCTGCTGTGTGGAGATTGGCATGGAGAGGGCAGAAGTGGAAATGAGGCTCAGTTAGACAGTGACCATCAGTGAGGAGAGAGATTAACAGTGTCTTGTACCAGAGTGGTAGCAGTGGTGATGGAGAGAAATGGATGGATTTGAGAGAGAGTTTTTGGAAGTGTATCAGCACACTTGGTGATACATTGGGTGTGGGAGGCAAGGGAAAGGAGGTGTTAAGAATGACTCACAAGTTTCTGGCTCAAGCAAGTGGTTGGATTGTGGTAACCTTTACTGAGAGGGAGAAGACTGTGGGAGGCAGGTCGGAGGGAAGAAAGGAAGAGTTCACATTTTGGCACAATAAGCTTGAGATGCCTGTGAGACTTGCAGGTGGAGCTGTGAAGTAGGCAATTAAATATCTGAGTCTGAAGCTCAGAAGAGAGGGCTGGACTTAGCAATCATCAACACTGAGGTACTATTTACAATCATGGGGGTGAAGGGGATCACCCAGAGAGAGACTATACTGAGAGAGCCTTGAGAAGGGCCAATATTTACTGGTTGGTAAAGAAGGAGGAACTAGGAAGGACCAGCCATAGAAGTAGGAGGAAACTCAGGAGGGTGTTGTCACTGAAGCCTACAGAAGAGTTTTTTCAAGCAGGAGTGAGTAGATAACACTCCACCCCTCCTTTAGATCCCAAATAAAACATTATGTCCTCCACAGATGAGGCTTGTTGCCCTTCAATGGCTTCATGTACCATGAGCCTTCTGTCATGGCACTTATCAAATACTATGGTAATGACTTGTTTGTGTTCCATGCTGGACTGTGAGCTACTTAAAGACAATAATACACACCTAGGCTATATGATAC